TGAAAGGGGGTGGGATGAAACATGAGGTCATGAGTGGGAAAAATTCCAAAGGCCTGGAGTGATAGGGGCTTTTCACAGAGAGAGTGGAATTTACTGATGTTTCCTATTTCAGCCTCAGGGAGAATTCTGCTGTAGGTTAAGTAAAAAGCAAACTAGGGGATAGTAGGATACTCCCCAGGGGTGGATAGAATTGGGCCCAGTTCAACCCTGAGGGGCTCTGAGCTTGGAAATGGTGAAAGTAGGGGATTGGAGCTGGGCAAAACAAATGGAGTGGCAAAATGAGTGAATGATTGCATCAGGAGGTCATCTGGGAGTGCCTCAATGAGGGCTTGTCACTGTCTATCAATCACTGTCTTTGATTGTTGCTGTCTTGCTGTCTTGTTTTCTCTTTTTTTTTTGTGTACTGTAGACCCTACAGTAGTGCACAAAAAATGCTGACTAAGGCTACCAAAAATGCGCCACAAAGGTAGCTTAAGTATCACTAATGTAAATCAAAGCAAGAAAATGCAGTAGAAAGATAAAATAATTAAAACTCCTTAGTAGGGAGTACCTATTCCCTACACTGCTCTCTACACTGCATGCAGGGTACCTTGTGCAGGATTGACCCAGGCAGGATGACAACCCTTGGCTCAGCCTCATCCTTGCTCTCCATGACAGTCTGCCATGATCACTTTGGACCCTGAGTGTTAGCCAATGAAGCACTGTGCATGGTGTGAACTTACCTTTTGTACATGGCTGAGTCCACCACCTCCACATGTGACATCTTCTCTGTTGCAGCTGGTGTGGTGCCACTCATCCCCTGCTCCACAATGTCCTGTGAAGCCTCTTCTCTCATGTGCACATCCTTGTCAACTTGTTTGTGTTCAGCTGTGGTGATCTCCTTAACAAAGGTATGAGTTCTCAGTGCACAAAGTAGTCACTCTATTAGTACCTAACAAAGGTATGAGTTCTATGCTACATCAGTACCAAGTAAACAAGTGGAAGTATAGCTATGCTCACCTCAGTGCATGAAGTAGTCACTGCAGTGGAAAATAATGGTGCAGAAAATTTATAGTACCATAATTACTAAGTGGGTTGACATTGGAATTTAATTCTGAAGGTCAGGAGAAACTCTGAGCCCTCTGGGAAAAACTTCAAGATGCTACCATAACTCTGGAATGCATACTCAACACTCCCCCTCAAACAGAATGAAGTCCAAGTGCAGATGTGAAATGTTTTGCCTTGATGCTCAGTAAAGGTTTGGCAAGGGTATCAGCAACCATGTCATCAGTAGGACAATAAGTTAAATGAAATGAATGATTTTCCACAGCAAAATGAATGAAATGGTATCATATGTTGATATGCTTTGTGTGAGCATGGGTAGCTGCCATCTTTGGTGAGTACAATGGTGGATTGGCTGTCGGAATACAGTGGGATAGGGTATTTGAGTGGGCAGAAAACTTCCCCAATGAGTCATTGAAGCCATAAGCCTTCTTTGGCTGCATGAGTCACTGCAACATACTCTGCTTCTGTAGTGGAGCATGTGACAAGTTCTTGTTTCCACAAAGCCCAACTGATAGCTCCTCCATCCAGTAAATATGCATACCCACTGATTGCCCATTGATGCTCCTGAAAAGCTCCATCTGCACTGGTATAGCCCTTGAGGCCTCATTCTGTATTCCTGAATGTCAAAGTGAGTGCTTTTGTGCCTGTGATATACCTGTAGATCCATTTTACAGCTTCCCAGTGAGTCATGTTGGGTGCATTATTGAACTGCACAACTGTGGAGACAGCAAATGTGATGTCTGGGCATGTTCCAACAGCAAGGTGCATGAGGGAGCCTACAGTGGCATGGTAGGGTATGTTTTTCATGTGTGCAGCTTCTTCAGCTGGCTGTGGAATTTCTCCATGAGAGAGTTTGATTCTGGGCTGGGGTCCATTGGAATTGTGCAGGCTTGCAGTCAGCAAGGTTATACTTTGCCAGAATGACCTCAATGTAGGACTGCTGCAATAAGGATATGGTGCAGGCTTCTCTATTCTGCATCACCTTCATTCTGAGTAGCCAACTGATGGGCCCTATGTCAGAGATTTTAAAGCAAGTGCTGATCTCCTGTGTAGACAAGCAGATTAATGATGGGGAACTGCCTGTTACAGTGCAGTCATCAAGGTGGCTGGCAAGAATGAGGATTTCTGATCCAATGCAACCATAGAATACTCCCCAGTCTGCATGAGCTCTGGTAAGTCCAAGATCTGCAAGGGTAGCACATAGCTTCTGGTACCACTGAAGTGTGCCTTGTTTTGAGCCATACAGTGCAACATTTAGCTTCCCAACTGGGCAGGAAAAATTCTGCCCTACAGTGTAGCCCTCAGGGAGCTCCATGTGGATGTCTTTTCCATCTCTGAGTATGCCATTTAAGAATTCCAAGGGGAAATTGAAGACATCAATGTCCCAGTCATTGCATGCAGCAACTGTGATTATAGTGTGAAGTGATGCAAGTCTTGAAACAGGAGCATAGGTTTCATTGTAGTCGATGCCCTGTATCTGAGAGTAGCCCTTAGTGACTTGGTGAGCCTTATACTTCTCAATTTCTCCTGTGGCATTGTGTTTGATCTTAAAGACACATTTGCATCCTATGACATTTGCACCTTTTGTGCACTCAAATGTCCCAGGTGTGCGCTTCCTCTAGGCTCTGTAATTCCACATTTATGGCATTTTGCCACTTCAGCCAGTCGGCTTGGGATTTTGCCTCATGTGCTGTAGATGGATCCAGCCCTTCAGCTTCAGCCATCCCTGCCACCATAGAATACATGATGTTAGCATCATCTTCATTGGCAGCTAGCTTGTCATCAAATACATAGGTACCATTCTCTCAGGATTTTGGGCTATTAGGGTTGCTATCATTCTCTCAGAGTTCTTTTACAAAGTCAAGAGGGATGTGTCCATCACAAGTCCCTTCACCTGCACATAAGCACCTAACATAGTCTGATTTGAAGCACTGGTGAGTGGAACAATGAGGTTGAGGCAGAGGTGTTTCAAAATTTTCTCCAAGTGGGTCCAGAATGGGTCTCAGAGTTTCCAAGGTTGCTTCACTGGGTCACTCAACTGTCTTCATGGCCTTGGAATTTCGTTTTGAGGCTTTGGAATTTCTGTTTGAGGTGTCAGAATTTCCCTGCTTCCCCTTGAGCAGCACACCATATGGTATGGACACATCTCAGTGCTTGAAAATGACACTCTGTTCAATTCCAATTGCTCATGTGTCAGGCCAGTAGATGCAGTGGCCATTGCTCTCAGGGTCAAAACCTACCCAGTGTTTATCTCAGGCTCACATGTCCAGCTTGGAGCTGGAGGTATCATGGACCTTGACACAACATCCCCAGACTGGGATTTTTGAGAGGTCAGGTGGTCTCTTGTAGAGCATCTCATAGGGAGTCTTGGTGCCTAGATGGCAAGTTGACAAGTGGTATTTGAGCCAAGTTGCATGCATAATGGCCTCCCCCCAGAGGTTCTTCAGTAAGCCACTGGTGTGACTCATTGCTCATACACACTCAATGAGTGTTCTGTTGAACTGATCTGCAACTCTGTTGTGTTTGGGGGTATCATGAATGGTTATGCATCATTCTGTGCCTTGGGATTTCAGATATTCCAAAATTCCACACTAAGGTATTCTCCCCTCAATCTGAGTGAAGTCACTTGACTTTGGTGTTGAACTGTGTGTTCAGCCATGCTTCATAAGCTTTGTATGATTTGAAGGTCTCGACCTTCACCTTCTGCAAATATAAGGTGGTGTAATGAGTGTGGTCATCCATGAAGGAGGCCATTATGCATGCAACTTGGCTCAAAAAACACTCATCAACTCACTGTCTAGGCACCAAGACTCCCTATGAAATGCTCTACAAAAGACCACCCAAGCTCTCAAAACTCCCAGTCTGGGGATGTCACGTCAAGGTCCATGACACCTCTGGCTCCAAGCTAGACATGTGAGCCTAAGATAAACACTGGGTAGGTTTTGACCCTGAGAGTGATGGCCACTGCATCTACTGGCCTGACACACATGCAGTTGGAATTGAACAGTGTAGGAAAAGTCCAAGTAGCTGTATAATACAACCTAGATGGCTTAGATAACAGCAATAAAATGAAGGGAAAAAATCACTCATCCCAAGGGATTCTGGACTGTTGAAACTAGAAGGTGGGACCCTGCACTTTATAGCAGTAGTGTTTCATGGTGTGCATGGCATGTTCTGCAGAGTAGTACTGGCAATGCAAGCAGTGCAAGCAGTATATGTAGTTCATGTGCAGCAGTTTGTGAGACATGTGGTGTAGACAAAATGAAAAGGAAACTTGTGGTGACCTTCTGAGTGTCAAAAGGTCTCATTCTGTACCTAAGTACAGGGCTTTACAGTCTAGGAAAACCTGGAACCTAAGTAAGACAAGGTACAAGTAAAGGAAAGCTGCATGACAGCACATACAACATGAGACAGGATGCAACAGGGGCCAAGGGTATACTACTAATGCAAAGGGAACAGAGACCATGGTAAAAGAAAAGAGTCTGAAGGATGGGAAATGACTAGAACATAGCAGTGTGCAAGAGGGAGTGAGGGCTTGGGAAGGTAGTGAGTGAACAGCAGTGGGAGTGAGTGGTCTGTGCATGTAATGATAGTTGCAGAACAGTCAATGATAGGGGCTTACACATCTAGGGAATGTGGATTCCTTACACCTGCAGGGGACTTAGATGCTGACCATCCCTGGTCACCCATGTGGCATGGAGGATGTAAATAACAATGCCATGTGGTGATGGAGAAGCTGTGGTGCCAAGGATTTGAGAACACTGGTGAATTCTGCATAGAAGCAATGGAATTGTGGTGCCAAGGAATGCAAGAAGACCATTGAATACCATGTAAAAATGTCTGGACTGATGACATGAGTGCCTCATGGCCACTAAGTATATATTTTTTAGTGTGCAGCTCAAACCTTCACATTGTTTTGATTCTTCCCCTCCATCAACTCCTATTACATTTGTATCATGGCTACTAACTGTGTCCCTCATCTGTCCCAGCTTGTACATGTGGCCACCCCTGACCCAACCAAAGTGGAGAAGGCTACACTGAAGGAGAGATGTGTAGCTGCAGCCATGGCCTTGGTTGCTGAGGCCAAGTGCCTACTGGATGACAAGGAGCAGCTTCAGGAGGAATGGGTCATATGGATGTGCTGGTGGGAAGAGAGGATGGTAAGTGCATGTTCTACTTGGGGCCAATGGTGCTGACTCTCTGTATATGCTATTGTCAAGTGCAGATGGGAGCTTGGGGTAGACACAAGGATCAATGTGATGGACAGGCCAGCTGTGGCAGAGGCCAACAAGGCCTATGAGAAGTGGACAGCAGAGGAGTGTTGAGTATGTGTTCCAGAGTTGTGGTAGTGTCTTGGAGTTTTGCCCAGAGGGCTTGGAGTTTCTCCTGACCTTCAGAATTAAATTCCAATGTCAACCTGCTTAGTAATTATGGTACTATAAATTTTCTGCACCATTATTTTCCACCTCAGTGACTATTTTGTGCACTGAGGTGAGCATAGCTATACTTCCACTCATTTACTTGGTACTGACATAGCATAGAACTCATACCTTCATTAGGTACTAATAGAGTGTCATGACCATGCATTTGTCCTAGGTCCCCACTCACTCTGCACCCTACTCCACCTGTCATTCCACTCACTCTGCACCAACTCCACCAGTCCCCTGTCATTTGCAAGTCTTCTCCACCCTGGCTGCTGTCAGACTTGGTACCAGCCTTCTGGTGGACCATGCAGACTGCTCTCCAGTGGGTCACATGACCCCTGCCAGTCCAGTCTTCAGACTTCTCCTTGACAGTGTGCAGTCAGGTACTCCACAGCACATGCACCTTATGGTTCAGCACCTGGACTGTTTCCTTTTTGGTTTGTCCTGTGTTACCCATCATATGTTCTCCATCTTCCCTTCATTCATCATCCAGGAAGTTTTCACTTGAAAATTTACGAGTCTCCATATATCAGTTCCAATTCTGGTTACTGTACCTCCATAGTGGTATAAAAGCCTGTACAGTACTCTGCTGTTCTTCAGTATGAATATCACCTAAGTTCCTACCCTGTATCTCTCTGTCTTCTGTCTGTTGGAGTTATCTCCAATCTTCCATCTGGTCTCTTCCTCTGAAATATGAGGGCTGAGATCATGGAAGGGGGTAGTGCATGAGCTAAGCCCAATGCCCTCACTCCATTCCACTTCTGTCCCAGTGGACTTCATTCCTGCTGATCCTCCACTAGTTGGAGTTCCATTCAATTGTGTCAGACTTGCTTCTGAACCTCTCCCCAGACCCTGTTTCATGTTGGAGTTGATCAGAGTAGGCCCAGACTTGACATAGAGTGACTACTTTGTGCACTGAGAACTCATACCTTCATTAGGTTATGAGCCCTGCTCTCATGCTCTAATTCCAAAAGAGTTATTACACAGCAACAATACCCACTATGGTGAAAGATGATCATTCCTTACAAGTCCCAACCCTAAATGTGGATGGAAGCAACTGGCTATACTACAAGGCTCAGGTTGAATGGGCCATCAGTTTGAAAGGGCTGATTGGACACCTGACTGGCTTGGATGCAAAACCAGCAGACCCTTCATTAGGAAAAGACTCCTACTGGAAGCCCACAGCCACAGAGCAAACTTATCAGCAAATACCCAGAAAAACTCTGGCAATGGGCAAAGGATGATGGATATGTCAAGCAAGTGATTGCTGTGTCACTCCCAGAATCACTGTTCCTTTGAGTTCTGAAGGAAGAGACTGCAAAGAGTGTGTGGGGTGTCCTCACTGATCTTTTCTAAAACTGCTCTCATGTTGTCACAATCAATCTTCAGAGAAAACTCCAAGAATCTTGCTGTGTGGAAAAAGGCAATGTCCATACTCACTTTGACAAGATGCATACACTGTGTGAACAACTTGCTGCACTTGGACAGTCTATCACAGATGATGACCTTGCAGCCATCATTCTCAGCTCACTTCCCACCTCCTACAACTCTAACCTCACAGCTATGACATCTTCAGCTCTGGTCATGCAAAAGGACTTATCTCCAGACTGATTCTGCATTCCCTAGATGTGTAAGCCCCTATCATTGACTGTTCTGCAACTATCATTACATGCACAGACCACTCACTCCCACTGCTGTTCACTCACTACCTTCCCAAGCCCTCACTCCCTCTTGCACACTGCTATGTTCTAGTCATTTCCCATCCTTCAGACTCTTTTCTTTTACCATGGTCTCTGTTCCCTTTGCATTAGTAGTATACCCTTGGCCCCTGTTGCATCCTGTCTCATGTTGTATGTGCTGTCATGCAGCTTTCCTTTACTTGTACCTTGTCTTACTTAGGTTCCAGGTTTTCCTAGACTGTAAAGCCCTGTACTTAGGTACAGAATGAGACCTTTTGACACTCAGAAGGTCACCACAAGTTTCCTTTTCATTTTGTCTACACCACATGTCTCACAAACTGCTGCACATGAACTACATATACTGCTTGCACTGCTTGCATTGCCAGTACTACTCTGCAGAACATGCCATGCACACCATGAAACACTACTGCTATAAAGTGCAGGGTCCCACCTTCTAGTTTCAACAGTCCAGAATCCCTTGGGATGAGTGATTTTTTCCCTTCATTTTATTGCTGTTATCTAAGCCATCTAGGTTGTATTATACAGCTACTTGGACTTTTCCTACACTGTTCAATTCCAACTGCATGTGTGTCAGGCCAGTAGATGCAGTGGCCATCACTCTCAGGGTCAAAACCTACCCAGTGTTTATCTTAGGCTCACATGTCTAGCTTGGAGCCAGAGGTGTCATGGACCTTGACGTGACATCCCCAGACTGGGAGTTTTGAGAGCTTGGGTGAAAGCCTAAATTCCACAGAGGAGACCATTCTGTTTGACTCAGGCACTTCATGTCATATGTCCTCCTACCACAGTAAATTTCTCAATTACAAGCCAATCATCCCCAAACCTATCACTGCTGCCAATAACCACACCTTCCATGCCATCAGGGAAGGTGACCTCACAATCTCACTCCCAAATGGCACTGAACAAACCCACATTCAACTCAAGGACATGCTCTATGCTCCCAAAATGGGAATTATGCTTGTTTCCTTTAGCAAACTTGATGTTGCTGGGTATGCTGCATTATTCAGGGACAAGCATTGTCAAATTTTTGACACTTGGAAAAAGAAAGTAGCCAAAATTCTGATGCAAAAAGGGCTCTACTGTCTCAAACTAGCTCATCATGCCTTTGCAGGCCTAGCTGAGGCCATGGAATCCCTAACAATGGAGGAGATACATGTCAGGCTTGGCCACATTGCTCCTGAAGCCATCCAGCACATGCTGAAGGATGGAACAATCACTGGAATTAAGCTGGATAAAGTGCATTCCACCATGGGCACATGCAATTCATGTGTATATGCCAAAGCAACTCAGAAGTCCATTGGGGGGGAGTGCAACCTACCCTGCCATGAACACCTTGGTGACAAAGTCCACTGAGACCTCTGGGGACCTTCTCCAGTCCAAACCCCAGGCCACAGCCAGTACTATGTGTCATTCACAGACAACCACACTCGTTACACCACCCTGTATTTGCAGAAGACAAAAGCTGACACCTTCAAATCATACAAAGCTTATGAAGCATGGCTGAACATGCTGTTCAACACCAAAGTCAAGCAACTTTGCTCAGATTGAGGGGGAGAATACCTTATTGCAGAATTTTCAGAATATCTGAAATACTGAGGCACAGAACAATGCATAACCATCCATGACACCCCTGAACACAATGGAGTTGCAGAATGGCTCAACAGAACACTTGTTGAGCATGTATGAGTGATGATTCATGCTAGTGGCTTACCCAAGAACCTCTGGGGGGAGGCCATTATGCATGCAATTTGGCTCAAAAAACACTCATCAACTCACTGTCTAGGCACCAAGACTCCCTATGAAATGCTCTACAAAAGACCACCTGTGAGAAGAACATGATTGAGGGTGTTCATGTATGCATCTTCTTCATCAATAACAATGTCCTGGGGGTTTGGAATTTCTTCCACCACAATTTCTGTGAGCCAATCATCATCCTATGGGTGCACTAGCCAAACTCCATCAGGTTTGGAGTCAGTGCTGGTCTGTGTGCTTGAGCTGGCTGTTGCACTGGCTGCAGTAGCCACTTTTCTGGAGCCTTTCTCCTTCTTTTTCCCTTTGGCCTTGTTCTGGAACCACTTGGGTGCTTGCCCAGCTTTTCTGCCACCCTCTTCCCAGCATTGGTCTTTTGCATGACTGTTCTTTCCACAATTTTTGCAAGTAGACTTCTTTCTGTCCTTTGCTGAGTAAGCTGCATCTTTGGAATTTCCAGAGTTTCTGGAGTTGCCCCTCTTCATCCAAGTTTGGTGCCTATCATATTCATTGGAAATTACTTTCATTATGAAGTCCAGAGATAGGTCCTTTTGCATGACCAGGGCTGAAGATGTCATAGCTGCAAGGTTGGAGTCATATGAAGTGGGAAGTGAACTGAGAATGATGGCTGTGAAGTTGTCATATGTGATATACTGTCCAAGTGTGGCAAGTTGTTTGCACAGTGCATGCATCTTGTCAAAGTGAGCACAGATGTTGCCTTTTTCTGCACAGTGAGATTCTTGGAGTTTTCTCCAAAGATTGATTGCAACAACATGGGAGCAGTTTTGAAAAGATTGGTGAGGACACTCCACACACTCTTCACAGTCTCTTCCTTCAGAACTTGAAGGAACAGTGATTCTGGGAGTGACACAGCAATCACTTGCTTGACATATCCATCATCCTTTGCCCATTGCCAGAGTTTTTCTGGGTATTTGCTGATAAGTTTGCTCTGTGGCTGTGGGCTTCCAGTAGGAGTCTTTTCCCAATGAAGGGTCCTCCAGTTTCGCATCCAAGCTGGTCAGGTGTCCAATCAGCCCTTTCAAACTGATGGCCCATTCAACCTGAGCCTTGTAGTATAGCCAGTTGCTTCCATCCACATTTAGGGTTGGGACTTGTAAGGAATGATCATCTTTTGCCATAGTGGGTGTTGCTGCTGTGTAATAACTCTTTTGGAATTAGAGCATGAGAGTGGGGCTCATCACCTAATGAAGGTATGAGTTCTATGCTATGTCAGTACCAAGTAAACAAGTGGAAATATAGCTATGCTCACCTTAGTGCACAAAGTAGTCACTGAGGTGGAAAATAATGGTGCAGAAAATTTATAGTACCATAATTACTGAGTGGGTTGACATTGGAATTTAATTCTAAAGGTTGGGGAGAAATTCTAAGTGCTCTGAGCAAAACTCTGAGATGCTACTATAATTCTAGAATGCATACATGACAGAGGATGCTGAACAGACAGCAAGTAACCTTGCCCTGAAGTCAAAGACATTTATGGTATGGCAGTCCTCATTATTTGTAGGTCTGGTTCATACTAACTGATAATGGACTTGATGTCAGAGAGCTTCAAGAAGCTCATGGGACTACAAAAACTTGATGAGTAAGACTTAACAGGCTATCCTATGGGAATTGGGGAAGCTACAGGTACTTGGCTAAGGGGTCAGTCCATAGGGAAGAGTTTGCTGTGCTCTGACTGGAGAGCTGGAAAGCAGGACAAGTCAGTGAATGTGGATGGTCTTGAGAAGGTCATAAAGCACATGCAAGCAACAGCTGAGCAGGTCCTAGGCATGAAGGTGGTTGTGGATAAAATTGGCCCTGTACAGCTGGCAAAGGCAGTACATTCAAACTATATGCAAATGGCAGGTGAATATTGCAAGGCTAAGAAGAAGTGAAAGTGTACTGAAGAAGATGGTGACTCTGGAGAGAGTGAGGTTGAGGTGGTTGAAACAGTTCTGGGCCATGCACAAATGAAGTCCCATGTTCAGTCTGTGAGTTATGAATAATTTCTAAGATACAGATGAAATGAACTTACACATCAAAAAGAAATTAGATGCATGCAAATGAAAGCAGGAATCAGAGGAATGCAATTCAAAGTGGAAAGACAGTAAATATGATACTGCATTCATTTTGAATGTGATGTCAGATGATGATGATGATCCAAATCATGTACCTGGAGAGTCACTTGCATACATGGCAATGGAACCAGAGTGGTGACATCCTAAGGTAAGTGCCAGTACTGGCAGAATCTTCTTTGGGCATCACTCCCAGCATGTTTGCAGGTCTCAAAACTGTTCTCAGCCATTGATGCTCTGAAGGATCCTCGACCTGATCAAGCCAAGTTTGTGGGAACATGAATATGTTCAGCAGAAAGGAAAGCTGGAGCCCCACCTTTGGCAAAGTCCTTAGCCACACAAGTCTGAACTTGGATGGTAAATCCAGAACCTCCTCAACAGAACTCAGCATGGATCACAGCTGGGAGAGTTGCAACCAGTGGGGCTGTATGGGGAGAAGACAAACCAAAAGAACTATCAAGAGATAGGAAAGGGCAAGGTAAGGTGGCAGATACTGGTCTTTTAAGGAAAAGGATGGTTATTCAGAAGAAAAAGGTTGGAGATAATGAGTTTGAGTTGAAAATTGCAGTGAAGGCTGCACAGAAGAAAATTGATGAGCTCATCAATGGACAAGGGGGAGTCAATGACCTCTTCAAGTAGAAAACATCATTTCCTGCAATTCAAATGGTGTCAAGTTCTGAGTTGAGTCATCCCTCATCACAATCAAATCCAGTCTGTAGAAAGTGATGTAAAAGTCAAAACATAAATGGGAAAAGTACCCATGCAATCACAGGAAGTGTCAGCCCACAGTGGTTTTGTTTGCTTAGCAAGATGCAGTGCAATTGGAATGATGACAGCTGTGCAGGGAAGTGATGATGAGGGAGTGATTTCAATTTCTCTATACTCATTTGCATATGCAATTGTTACATAAAGTTCAGTGCACTGACTGTGTGCCTGATCAGTCATAACATAGAATTCTGAGGAAATGATCACTTACAAATGATCCCAAGGCATTGCAAGTATTTCCTCATCACAGACCATTCATTGTATAGCTGAACAGTGGAAGGGTGCTTCTTGGCATTGGATATGTACTTTGAAGTGATAGACCAACTTGCATGGAATGCAGGTATTGTCAATTACCACACCTGCGAACTGATCAGAGGTGGTTGTGCTGCAGTGGCTGAGCCAATTCTGATGCCATCCTTTATGACAAAGGGGAGAACTTTAACAGAGCAATTAGCAAATATCACCATTCCTGATGTATCAGCTGTCATGTTGTCACAAACTCAGAGCTCAGAGAAGTGCATCTGTAGGAAAGAAATGATCAATCTATAAACTTCTGGATGCTGAAGACATTGTAAGTCATAAAATCCTTTTGAGCTGCATCATGGTGGGAGAACAGTTGATTCTGTTGGCACCTCAGTTATGAGAAGCTGGAAAAGATGATGAGTTGAGCAGCACACCTGCCACAAAACCAGCAATTTGATTGCACCATGTCCCTCTATTGATCCCTTCTGGGTGATGACTCACTCAACCACCCTGCACTCCTGAGCTGAAGCTTCCTCAGGTAGGGAGATAGCCTGCATAACATAAGTCAGTGTTTTCCAATACAGGTATATCAGACTTTCTAGCTCATATAAACTATGTTTCTCAATCCAATTGTGAGCAAGTGAACACTCCATCTCTCTGCCACCATGCCCATTGAGGTTTACATCCTCCAAGACACCATTGAAGCATTCAAATCCAAAGAGCCAGGTTGCCTAAGCAGGGCCATAATGCTTAAAGACAACAACAACTGAGTAGTGCATTGCAAGATGGCTTTTGATTGTTTGGTGGACACTGAGGGACTGAAGACCTTGACAGTAAAGCTGGAGGTAGGCTTGCCCTCACTCAACATCAGCCACCAAAATTGACTTGCAAGGATACATTCAGAGGCTGCCAAGTAAAGAGACAACTTGTAGATTGCTTGTACATTACACTGAAATGTAAGTTGGTTCTTGCTGTTGCTTGGAATTCAGGGAGCCAATGATCTGATGTTGCCTGTGGGATCATGCCAACAAACCCACAGGACAAATGGGAGTATGTTTGAGAGGCAACACCATTGATCAGCTTTTGGAAGGGCATGATCATTGTCTAGCTAGAATAATATGTGAAAGTGATGTGCTTCTGAAAATAATATACTTGCATTTTGTGGGAGATGACCAACAATCGATGGCCAGATGATTGACCTAATAGTCACATCATATAATTCCCATCCCACACTGTCAAGCAGGTATCCTGCAGTGATTACATCATAGATAAACTGTTTGATGAGTGCTATTGATGGCTGTCAGTATCAACACAACAGGAGTTGGAAATGAGGCAATCCATTCCATAAAAATTGTGCATGAAGTCAATTGGTGACTGACAGGTGGGAAGCCAGCCTGGGAGCTCATTGAGCACAGAAAATTGCACCCCATGAGCATCTAGAATCACTTTCTTCGCAGTCTTAGTCTTGGCAACTTTTGTTCTGGCTGCATGCTTCAGTTGCTCCCAGTCATCATGCATATGAAAATCTATTACAAAATTTGGTAAGCCCATTCATGGAACATGATCTGCATACTCGGAATATCATAGTCAGTGGGTGTATCAATGTCATCCCAAAGGATGAAACAGTGGTTGCAAGGGTGTGTCTTATGGCTATGTGAAGCAGTGATGATCAGTTTACAGGTGGCAGGTATATCTGAATTCTCACAATGCAGTCCAACATGCATTTCATGTAGGCTATGGGCCCATGGACATGCATATATATGCCTAACAGCAAGTGAGCAATACTCTCATAGACAAACTGGTAACCTTTGTGTAGCTCAAGGACCCCATGTAGTCTGCTTAGTCACAAGATGTGGGTAGCCTGTGCACCAAATTACCCCTACTCATATAGAGCCTGACACAGGCCCATCAAATTAATTAAGTCATAACACATGAAGAGGCCCAGAGTCACAGCAGCAAATGAGCAGTCCCATGGTTAGCATAATACAACATATATGTGGGTCCATGGAGGGGCAGGATAATAAAAGGTATGTGCAAGCCATCTGTCAAGAGGTAGATGATGGAATGACACATAGATGGGCCCATCAGTGGCATGATGTGCACTGTCATCAATAAAAGGGAGGCCCATCCATTTGGTTACAGCAGATGTCACAACTTATGAGTGAACCCTTCCTGGATGTGTCAGAGTGTTGCAACATATAGACAGGCCTGGAAATAAATAGCCAGCCCATTGATAGAAAATAAGAGTGGGCCTGTCCAAGTGGTGATGGAATATATTCATGGGCCTGTCAAAGGGATATCAAATGCATCACAACTTATCTTATAAGCAGGCTGTTGCATATATAGTAGATGCTGTGGCAACCTATGGATGGGCCCATCCAAGGCATATTGAATGGGTCAAAATGGATGGGCAGGCCTGTCATATGGATGGCAAGTCTTGTCACAACCAATGGTCAGGCCTGTAGAAGGGATGTTGCATCCAATGAGTGGGCCTGTCACATACAGTGGCTCAAAAAACTGACCACATGTTTGGACATTTTCCACTAAAGTCAACACTGCCCCATACCCCCTAACTTAGGCCCCAACCTATAAGTATATGAAACAAAGCCCTTACACTTGGCTCTCTATTGGTGCAGGGGTCAAGGGTTTTGGATAAGGTTTGATCAAATGGCAGCCATTTCAAAATGATGACTCATGCAGTCAGTTTTTTGACTTTAGGTTTCAATTACATATATTTGACCCTGGCATACTGTAATATTAGTACATATATCTGGTAATGGTTCTATTATGTCACCTTTATGTAACTGAGTGTCAGACATTATAAATAAACCCCACCATCACCATGGAACCCATCTCTGCTTCTCAAAGAAAGAGTAACATATCTCTCACCATTCTTGATCTTTCCTCCAGGAAAATTGCTTCCCAAACTGGCTTAGGGTAGTCTACAGTATTCCAGGTCCTTCAGAAACTCCAGCCAGAGAGGACTAGGCTTTGTGGTGGCCATCCATTAAAGCTTACCCCCTACCAACAAAAGGGCTACTGCTCAGCAAATCATTATTGGCAAGCCCAAAAATGCTGTCCATGCCATTCAATTCATCAATTCAATTATTGATACTCCTGTCTACCACAGACTGTGTGAAATACCCTCAAGGAATCCTCTGTGAAGGCTGTGGTCAAGAAAAAGAAGCCCTTGCTTTCTAATGTACACAAGAAGAGAAGGCTAACCTTTGCTCTCAAGTACCAGAATTGGACTGTGGAGGACAGGAAGAGAGTTATATGGTCAGATGAGACCTAAATACATAGGACTGGGTCAGATGGGCAAGAGTATGTGTGGAAAAAGAAGGGTGAAGGGCTAATTGCTAGAGAGGTCAAGGGTACAGTTAAGTGTGGAAGTGGTTCACTGATGGTATGGGGCTGCAGAAGGTGGAATGAAGCAGGGGTTTTGAGTGAGGTGGAAGGTGGATGGATGCTGAACAGTATGTAGCCATTTTGGAGCAGGGGTTGCTGCAAATCTTGGAAGATTCTGGAATTCCCAAAGATGACATTATCTTTCAACAAGATAATGGCCCCAAGCACACCTCTAGGAGAGCCAAAAGTTGGTTGGAAGAACAGGAAATCAACCTTCTGGACTGGCCTGCACAATATCCAGACCTTAATCCCATTGAACATACTTGGAATCACCTCAAGAGATGCCCCTCAGGTTATGGGAGTGCTCCTACAGGCATTCACTGACTGTGGGAAAGAGTGGTGGAGGAGTGGGGGAAGATTGATGAGGAGCAGTGTCAAAAATGAATAGAAAGCATGCCTAGAAGGATTGAAGCAGTTACAAATTGGGGCCAAAGGAGTTCATACAAAGTACTAGATACATAAATTGATATAAAGTCAAAAAACTGACCACATGAGTCATCATTTTGAAATGGCTGCCATTTGATCAAACCTTATCCAAAACCCTTGACCCCTGCACCAATAGAGAGCCAAGTGTAAGGGCTTTGTTTCATACACTTATAGGTTAGGGCCTAGGTTAGGTGGTATGGGGCATTACTGACTTTAGTGGAAAATGTCCAAACATGCAGTCAGTTTTTTGAGCCATTGTATATGGCAGATGCTGTGGCAACATATGGATGGGTCTGTCCA